GCTTTTCCTTCTTTGTTGTTCATAACAAGCTTCTGAAAAAAACAGACTGTACAAAAAACGTTTTTTTTTTAATCATCAATTCTAATAAAATATATTATAGAATATTTTGACTTAATTTCTACTTTCCTAAATACAGGTATTGATTAGGCTTTCCAATGGCCTATGTTACAGCCCAATTCTGTGGGTCCTGCACAGCCATCCTATTCCAGAAATGCTAAGTTTTTACAGCTGCTATAGTCTGCTCACTGTTGCAGAAGTGGGAAGGGACATTTATGGGAAGAAGAATCTTTATGGGAAGAAGAATCACCTCCCTTGCAAGACATATAAATTGGGTAACTCCGGACTGCATGTCTTTTTTACATTTGAGTTTTCTCTATTTAAATTGTGAGGAAAAAAATACCTAAAATGCTTCAAGGCAAATGCTACTAGGCTGGTTCTTTGCAGTCACCTTATATCTGCCAAACCCAGATTTATTCATCAGAAATAGCTAGCTTAATTAAAGCTGTCATCTCCTAAAAGCTAATTCGATCCCTCTGCCTGCCATGTTGAGGATAAAATTCAAATTAAGCCATCTGCCTTCATGGCGTTGGGAACACAGGTACAGCTCTTCTCTCTGTAAGATTAGCACAATTCCCACTTGCCAGTTGCAATAGTTTTGGGGTAGACTATCTGGTTTTTGAAAGAAGTATACAAATTTGGCATATCAGGTTGTCCTGATAAACACATACACGCAGGTGAGCTTGACCGGCTAAAGACAGTGAGGCCACAGAGCACACACCCCCCGGCCATGCACGGCAGGACCGGAAGGCTCCCCGCTCTGGGGTGCTCAGCACGGTTGGGGGACACAGTTGGATGGATGCAGAAGGTATCTTCTGCTTCTCCTCACACCATGGTCGTGGATGGGAAGTCTCAGCAAGCACACCAGCGTTCTTCATTCAGGACGCAGCACTCACGCATCTGATTTGTGCCTTTGAGTCTTAGAGATTGCAGTGTGCTTTACGCTGTAACTTTAAAGCAACTTTGAATGTAAAATGTATAAGGGTGTAAACTGATCAGTAAGCACTCGCTCTGTCAAGCATAGGACTACCTTTGCATCTCCCCTACAGAATCCAAATTGTGTGGCGTCTATCTGCCCGCCCGCCTCTCACGCCAGCGTACGCCAGTGCTGCTTGTGCTGTGATGCAGAGGTGCCTCTGCGCTTGCACAGATGACTGATGCTGCAGAGGAGGCATTCTCTGAGCACTCCTTCATCAGAAGTACTTTATTTAGCTCTTTAAAGGGAGGGGGGAAAAAAAAAATTACTCTACAGATTAGTTTTCCTAACAGTACTACCTCTGCAGAAGAAATCCAGGTAGGAAAAAAAATACATGCATTTGTGCATTAACAAAAAAAATGTCAGTTAATACTCTAGTACTGGAACTACAATAACACAGACAGAAACATCTACCCATGTGGAGTATCTCAGTTGTCACAAGGGATTAATATCGGTGAAGCAACTCACTGTTATGGAGAATTTTATTTTTATCCGTGTGTTCTTATGGTGTAGAAAAGAATGCATTTTGATGGGGTTGGTAGCATTATTGGCTTTAGGAAAAATTATGCTTTGACTTATGAACCAAGCTAGTTTACAATGCAAATTAGTAACAATATGTGTTAAATAGCACAGTTTCATTTTAACGAAGACACCCTGAGATGTATAACTGAACATCAATGATTTCATTTGGCATGGTTGTTATCTTTAAAATGCAAACATTGCACCAAAATACAAGCCAATCACTAACTGCTTTCAGCTATGAAGGGTCAGAAAATATACTTTACAACTCTCAGTGTGCGTGTTGACAGAACAAAATGCAAAATTTCAGACAGTATATGTGAATATGTATTTTCTATCTTTAGAGTACAACCTTTGCTTCATCTTTGACTGCATGCTTCTGATTTCTATTAAGTATGACTACCTGCTTGTCTTGTCAAGCAATTAAAGTGACAAAAGTAATAGCAGATGCCTCTTTCATAGTTAAAACTACAGCAAGCAGACCATAACTTGCATTTTATTACAACCCCTCTATACAGCCTAATAATTGCAAGGTAATTGAAAAGATCCTGATAATAAACCACCAGTTTACTTTTTTCAGACAAAATAAATATATAACCCAATTCAGGCTTCATTTTAACGACACATTAGATGGTTTCCAACTTGTCTTGATTTTTGTTTTATTTTATGATTGTAAATAAACCCTGGAAAATTCCTTCCCTGATTTTACCACCTGAAACTGCAGCTGTTGGCTGACACTATCAAAGCCTCGCAATTCCGAACTCACGTGCAAATCTCATCAAGTGCAGACACTTCTAATTGATTCCAGAAGTTTTTCTTTTGCTAAGATCAGCGGGCAGAAGAAGAATAATGAGCAGCTTTTAAGCAGAGGGGGGAGGGTGTTGAGCTCAGGGAGTGGAGATTTTAAAAGCTCCAGCTTGGCTGCTCTGCCAGAAATGTGGAGCAATTTTACGGTCAATTGGCTGGAGCATCTGGAACTATACATCATAGTCTTTAGTTGATGGTGGTGAAGCCGACTCTCAAACTGGCTAAGTCTAAGATCAGTAATGACTCTGCTGTCACACCTAAGTGGAAACTAACTTAATCTACTGCCAGATTTTACTGTGACTTTTTCTAAGGGACATTATTCCCCTTAGGGCAGTTGTCAAGAATATTAAAAGTCCAGTCCCTGGGATACACTGCATGGTATAGTGGACTTCTCTGAATGAAGCTAACATAGAAAATACAGATTACAACTCGTGTTTGTTTAATTCCATGTGTGTTGACAAGGCTTTTTATCATAAGGCAGTCGAGTTTCCTTCCATCCTCAGCTTAATTTCTAAAATACATTTCAAATACACCAGCCAATCTAGTTAGGGCACAGAGACTGCATAAATGCTGAGGCTGTAAATCACAGCACAGGGCATGGAGCTTTCACATTAACGGAAACCAAATATGGGATATGCTGCTCTTTGAAATGTGGCACAGATGATCATAACGAGGGACCAAGGAAAAAAATTCTACAGAGCAGAAAACTATCGTTGATGTGGAAATAAGTTCTTATAAGTAAATGTTTGGTTTAAGTCAGTACTCATAAGTCAGTATTCCAACACTGGTAAATTACGCTAAGAAACAAGTGAGGTAACAGCAAGTCTTTGTACGATGAAAGGAGAAATAAGTAGTGTGGTAATATATCACATTAAGAGGGACTGCTGTGGAACACAGAATACAGTGCAAATCAGTTCTTTAATAAAGAGATATTATATATTTTATCCAGACAAATTAGCTGACACACTCGTAAGAAATACCAGAATTGCATCACAGATCAGAGAAGCAGCCCAGTTGGTACAGAATACTGTCTCCAAAAGTGTTTGGAACAGCTGCATCTACCAAGTTTAGATACGCTGTAGGAGTAAATAAACAATTTGACCACAACGATGTTCATTTCTGCCTTCACTAGTTAAGGGCTGAATTATACCCTGCAGCACAAGATTTTATATGTCTTCCAAAGTTGGTTATATTTCTAATGCACCACATGCCCAGGTAAAACAGAAAAGAAAACAAATTATTTATTTAGACTATCCCATGTGTATACAATCTCTCTTTTTCTCTCTTTTCCCCAATGAAAGTTGCCCTAGATTTTTGTCATTTCCACCCGTAAATTACTACATCTGCCAATGCTTTCATAGCCAGGCAGCCCAGGAAGTTGCAGTGCAGGAGGAGTCTGGGTGAAGAGATTTACTCTCAGATACAATGCCCTAGCTGAAACAAAGGTAAAAGATAAACAAGCACCTCAAGCCAGTGCATTTCCTCACTCCTAGCCCTTTGGTTTAAGAGTCTTTCTCAGTACTGGGTTGCAACCACTCTAAGAGTTGGTGAAAATATTTAAGACAAGAGTTCCAACAACATGTCAATGGCTCTCACTTCTACTTGCTCCTCATTAGCACTACTGTCAAATAACAGCCACTGCTTAACCAAAATCAGCTCATGGAATATGCTGGCTGATGCCAAAGCAGACCAGTTGAATGGAAACACTTTGAAGAGGTGCACCATCATAACAGAGTTATTTTTACATATTGTGCCTACTGAACTGTCGCATAACTGAACACAAGAGCAATGTTGTCTGCTACCTCCAGGTGGTTAGGAGACTCCAGGCCCAGTCTGACAGAAAACGATTTGGCTTTAGCAATACAGATGATCATCACATTACACAGGCATGAAGTAATCAGCTAAACAAAACTACCTAGTATGGGATGTGGCTACACAGATCCTCAAGCAGACAATAAACTGAGGAGCTAATGTGTTTCTAAAACCAGTCAAATATAATATCTCTGCCCCTATCATCAGGGTTCTCAGGGACCTCCACCCAAGAAACAATTTTCTTAAGATCTAAAAATTTCCTCAAACATCACCGCTTTTTTTTCTTAAAAAAAACCCACCAACAAACAAACCACACAACTTTCCCCCTGCCCCCCCTTCTTTCACCTAACCATCCCTATGAAATACATACAACACAAGAAACAGAAAACACATGCTGAGAAACCTGTACTGTTCCACCTCCCGTAAGAAAAAAAGAGGTCACTTTTCTAACTCTGATAACTTCAAATTACTGTCTTGTTTGGAGAAGAAAAGGACACCAGGAGAGATCCCCTAGGAGTATATTTATCTACATATACATGAAAGGACTTCACATGCAATAGCAGCAAGAACAATACCTCTAAATGACCAGAAAATTAACATAGTTTTCATATGGAACCAAGACTAGTAACACATAACTTCAAAGTATCAGCAGACAAGATGTTGTACTTACTACAGTGTGGACACAGTTAACAACCATATTAAGACTACAGCTTTAGCAAAAGCAGAAATCCTTCTTTCTTACACACCTCCAGCTTCATTTTACTTCCACCTTCCCTGGGCTTTAGCTTTAAAAATCTTTTCTGCTCCACAGCAATTTGTGTCAACTCACTTATCTGAAGAAAAATCCTCAGCTGCACTAGAATAGCCGGCCAAGCCAATTAGCTGGGCAGCAAGGGCAAGAGGCTGGAGCCTGAGAGCAGGGCTTCTGCTGCTGGAATTGCAATCGTTAGCTGCTTTTTTAACACCCACCTGAGATAATTTAATGGCAAAATGGGAAAGGCTCACTCCTTGGTTGTTCTCTCCTCTCTCACTGCTTCCCTAGTTTTCTTGCATTTCTTATGTATTTTCCTTCTAGTTTTCACCCAGAAGGCCTTCCTCCCATGCCACAGTTCTGATAATTATCTGACCTTTTTATGAGCCAAATGCAATTGTTTGCAGTTCAAATCACCTATTTTTAATAGAGTACCCTGCAAATAGTACTGCGAGGATATTTACTTCTGAAATCTTACCTACTGGTTCTGAAATATTCATGAGAAATATGAACATATGAAACATAGTCACAGAAAAAAACAACTTGTATAGACAGGAGTCACATGTTTTTTCACTAATGATTCAACATGCTGTATGGCAAAATCAGTCTTGCATGTATCTGTTGGAATGTGCACCATTAATTTAAGAATGTTGTGACAGAATTATTTGTTAAATTCTGGACACATTGAGTAGTGCTATCATGCCTCTTGCAGTTTATTTTTCTTCATCCCTAAGTAAGTGCCCTTAAAGGCATAATTCATAGACTCACAAAAATAAGTCAACAGAAATTATTTTACATGATGTCGTGCATTCATTCCCGTTGCTCATGAATACTAGATTGCTAAAGAATTCTTTATTTGGTACCATATAAGGATGATGTTGTAAGGAGGACATTATTTAAGCGCAGTACAGATTATGAGTACTGAAAATATAGCATTAAAAAGATCAAAGTCAGATAAATCTAGATGTATGTTAAAGATGGAATATGTATGAGGCAAACAAAAAGATTAAATAAATGGTTTAATTTACACCACTCAAATTACAAGTGGATTTGAAAGAGAAATAGAGCAAAGGAAGTTGAAAAGCAAGCACATAAAAATTACTAGGACATATGGAACAGAAATATAAAAAAATTGCTTATGAGATAGGTCTATGTTTATGAGCCTCATAAGATGCTCAGTTATCTACACTATTATACCGTGAAGAACAGATAACCTGTCTGAATGTTGAACAGAACAGAAACAATTTTTACTACAAATTTTAGACCTAATTTCTGAGAAAAACTTGCATTTATTTATTTATTTAACTTTCTGGTATCTGCTGGTTCAAAATGATCAGGTGAATTTTGAGCTAAAACATTAACATTTGAAGACTTTTTAACATGAATTGACAAATATCTGGTAGTTCCCCTTCGCTCAGAATTTTTTAATCATAAATCCCACTATAAGAAAATTACCGCACCTAAGAGCATTTCTACCACGAATCCAGAAATTGCATAACATACTGAGAGCACAAGTGGACCATTTATATCAAAATGAGGAACTCTTTGAAGTTCATCACAAACATCATAAAAGCTATTAATATCACAAACCTGTTGGTTTATGATAAAAAGTAAGTCTTCAGTGTTGACATATTGACATTACTCAGGAACATCTATTCTGGTCTCACTAAGAGCAAACAATTTGGAAGACACCTGTTCTTTCAGTATTTTCAAAGAAAAACATGTGAGCAAGGTTTCTTGTTAAAATGGTCAATGGGACTAAAAAAGAATAAAAGAAAAGTATAATATAAAGGATAAAAGGAAAAACACTAGACAGAAGAAAGAATAGGAAAGTACAGTAGGGAAGAACTCAAGATGGTAAAGTTGTTAAAATTTAATGACAGATACATGTAAAGAACAGAGTAAGAACCCTTTCATTTTATTTTCTTCTTCATGGCAGAATAGCAAGCTGTATGGTTCCCTACAAACAATAGAAATAACAATAATTTTACTTTTAAACCATACTTAATCAGACCAAAAGTCTATTTAGTTCAGTATCCTATCTTTGTCAATGATTATAAGTCTGTTTCTGAGGTTCAGTATAAGTACAGAAGAAAATATTAGATATTTAAGACTCTTCCAGCCTCCAAGAATTTTCAGAGTTGCCTCACAAAAGGTGAGTTCGTCAATTCAAGTTCAGAGAGTTCCCTTCAAATCATATGGCCACTAATATATTATTTTTGCAAGAAATGGTAAGTATACACTTTCCTGCAGCAAAACCCAACAATTTTCTTGCAAGTTAATCCTAAAAAGTGAGAAATGGATAAGAAAAAAAAATTAATATTCTCCTCAAATACTATAATAAAAAATAAGGAAGCAAAATATAGATGATTAGTGTTTCTGTTTTTTCTAAAAAGATAAAAAAATCTAGGGTCATCAGCATAGACATTTCAAAATAAATGTCTTACCTCATATGCATAGCCCAAGGAAGAAAATTGACTCCTTAAGTGGCCAAGTTTGTATGCACCTACGAAGATTAAGCAGCGGATGATTTCCAAAATTCCTGCTTTGGGCCTAGAAATGGGAAGTAATTCAGATTAACATCCAATCTTCTCTTTGTTAACTTCAGCAAAAAAGGGAATGTAGAAATAGTCTGTGATGTTCTGCACTTAAACCAAGTCATCTTTCTTAACCTTACAGTTAAGTTTTTACAGTATTTACCTTATAAGGACTTATAACACTGAATTTGCTGGAGGTGAGAATACACATACTCCCAAACTATGTATGAGTTCACACAAATGTAGATGTATATATAGTTATTGTCTTTGGATCTCAAAGATTACAACAACAAAATTCTGAAAACTGCTACATGAGTAGTTCAGAATCTTTTCATCAGTGTATTTCTGTAATTTTTTACTAATTCACATTATTAACTTCCTAAGCTATACATGTCTCTGGCATATTGACAGATTTTTTACCTATCCTGAAATAAACTATTCAGTCCACACAAGTGAAAGATATTCCCTTTCTGAAAGCATAATGAACAGCAGGTGCAAAGCGGACCTGGCACCTTAATCTCAAAGGAAGCTTCTAGTCCACATTTCTGTTCTGGCAGGGCATATAGCTTCTCTGTAAGAAACTCTACCTGCTCTTTACTCTTCTGTAGGGTTATGGTGCCCATATAGACTACTTCCACAGTGTACATCTCACTGGTCACGTGTATTCAAGATCCAACTTGATTTGTATCCATACAGATTAAATTTAGTCTTAAGTCCACACCATCCTTCATATGATTTTGAGTCTACTCTGAGCTACACTGTATGTTTTTCATATACCATCAGGGTATCTGGCACTTGTGGCACGCTATACAGGACCGACACAATATGATTGCAGTCTGAGCTTGAAGTGCCTTGAGACAGCTTGCAGGTCTCCCTGGCCTGCTAGTGTCCCAAAACCAGAGATGTGGCTCCATCCATTCAAGCATGGAGAGGGACGTGAGTAACCTGTAACTTTTCTGCAAAGGACAATATAGATATGGACACTAATCACTAAGGGAACATTCCTGGGTTTAGGTGCTTGCTTTTCATGTATTATTTGCTACTCAATGGAGAACAACATATATGTCTGAGTGTATCTATATTTATCAATATAATTTTTTACATTCTCGAGATTTCCATATAATGATAAGCAATGCATAATGAGAGAAGGGAAAAAAACCCATGTTTTTTATCTTGCCTGTTTTCCATAAGTAGTCCAAAAGAGGTCAGGGACAGAATGATAAAGCCAATTCTCAGGAGAATAGTTCCCTGTGATAACATCTGTTAAAAAGGAGACAAAGAATTCATTTAGAGTAATTTTTATGAAAAGAAATTGAGTATTAACAGAACAGTAGCTTCAACGTCCTCAGTCAGTGATGTCAGCGTCTGCTTGTATTGGGTTTACGTCGCAAAGTTTTGGTAGCAGGGGACTGCAGGAATGGCTTCTGTGAGAAGCTGCTAGGAGCTTCCCCTGTGTCCCACAGAGCCAATGCCAGCCGGCTCCAAGATGGACCCATCACTGGACAAGGCTGAGCCCAACAGCAATGGTGGTAGCACCTCTGGGGTAACATAGTTAAGAAGGGGGAAAAAAATAACCCTCCACACCACCAAGAGCAATTGCAGCCAGAGAGGGGCACGGGAAGATGTGAGAGGAACAACTCTGCAGACACCAAGGTCAGTGCAGAAGGAGGGGAGGAGGTGCTCCAGGTGCTGGAAGACAGATTTTCCTGCAGCCCATGGTGAAGACCATGGTGAGGCAGGCTGTCCCCCTGCAGCCCATGGAGGGTGACAGTGGAGCAGATATACACCTTGGAGCCCATGGAGGACCCCACATCAGAGCAGGTGGATGCCCAAAGGAGGCTGTGACCCTGTGGGAAGCCCACGCTGGAGCAGGCCCCTGGCAGGACCTATGGCCCCATGGAGACAGGAGCCAAAACACTCTTTAAGATATTCCCTTCTGTACTAGGTGTTTTCCTGAAGTTACTTGATTCCCTTATGCCTTTACCCAAGAGGGAACAAACTATTTCTAGATAAAAATCCCAGCAGCCCTGTTCTTTTTCTTCATCTGATGTTATCAGGTCTTTACAATAGTCATCTACAAATCCCAGTGGATACAAAACCTGATACATTGGTGAGAATAAGAATTCACATGACATGACAATATAACCATATTTAAGAAGAAACAAAATTAATGTTGCCCCTTCATGACAACTCGACACTTGGTTCCCAATTCAGCAAAACTTTTCGACTCATACCATTAACTTCAATCAGACTTAAAACACTTAAACATTAATGTGTGTTAGTACTTGGATGAATAGAAGCATGAGGATTGATGTCTTTAAAATTTACATCAAAATGATATAAACAAAACAAATTATTTTCATGGTGAAGTTTGAATTTTTTCATTTATTAAATATTTTTTGTATTCTACACAGCTGCCTTTGAAAATCAAATATTTAATCAGTTTTCTTGTTCCCTCCCTGAGTTCCTTTCAAATATTAGTTTTGAAAAGCTTTTGTTTTTTCATTTAAAAACAACAAAAAACCCAAAACAAAAGTAGTGGATCTTGCTGAGTTATAGGAATCCCTTCTGGTTTGAATAGCAATAAGGTTTATTAACAGCATCTTGCACTTCAAGATTGCAGGCATTGGAAAAATAAAAATCTATGAATGTCTGCCCTGATTTCAATAAATCCCACTCGGTGACATGTCCACCTTCCTTCAGTGGTGGCCCCTACCCCTTGAAGAGATCTAAGGTAAGTATCTGTGAGCGTGGGAGGCCACAGGAGGATATTCTCAAGTTTTACAGCTGTGTGAACTTACAGTGCCCATGTTTGCAAAACACATCAAACCACACACTCAGGCTGGGTAGGTTTCTGTTGTTTTACTAAAGAATCACAAGCACCTACTTAGATATCCTTAACAAACAGTTATTGAACAAAGAAAACACAATCCCAGCAATAAGTGAGCTAAACAGAAGCCTCACCAGTTTACAAGCCAGAACACACTTCTCACAAATGACACCTGTCAGGCCACTCTGTTGCACAGATTTATACCAGGATAGATCAAACTCATTACTGCATACCTACATTTCCAATCTGTTCCATTCTGCCTGATGATAAACTTACAAAACCTCAGAATGATGATTATCACCATCATCTACTTGTATGTAGCCCCTGAGAAAGCATATTTACATTTTTCTTATGCTCTTACCCTGGGCAACTGCTATCAGCTACCACATAAGACAGGATATTGAGCTAGATATTGAACCCTGGGAGTCAACTCAGTATAGCAGTTATGTGGTGAGACTCTCACTTAACTCAAGAAAGCAAACAATGCCCTGATGAGTTTATAATCCTTTATCAAAGTTTACATCACTTGGAATACATTAGCAAATTCCAGATACAAGTTTGAAAATATGTCAATGAGAGATTAAATTGAGGGTGCTCTTTTTGAAAACTTCAGTTTCTAGAATGTGAAAATCCCACAGCTATCCTAAGTTTAAAAGACTTTCCATTGTTAACATGAAGCAATTTGGTTTGAAGTGACAAAATTTTTGGACAGAGATTTTTTATAAAAATCAGGCACAAACTCTATTTAAGTTTAATAAAATGAGTAGTTCTTAAACTGCTCATCTAGCTATAGTAAGTTCAACTCCCACTTCAGCTTCCTGTAGAAACTGGGTCATACAAAAATTCAAGAAGTGAACAAAGAAAAACATGATTTGGCACAGGTGTAAAGGGAACTCACCCATAAATTTCTTAGAAATGCTTTGATATGTTTTTCAATGATTGTTACTTGTCAAATAAAGGAGTTTGCCAGAGAACTAGGTCTGGAATTCAAGACTTTTCTCCTTAGACAGTGTCCTCACTTTTAAGTTGGATAATTACACCTTTTTTTAAACCCAGTCCTTCTGGACCGGTGGGTCTGAGTTTGCTTTTTGTGTTTCCAGTGCAATGCACTAGCTTCTATAGACTGCCTTTAAAATGTTCCCACAGTGGTAGGGCACTATTCTGAGGAAAGGAACCTAAAGTTTTGTATCCTCCTTAGGCAGGAAAAAGAACTGAAGATCAAATTCAAATTTCAAGCAAGTCATGTAATTGCTACATTACAATATATGGCTAAAACCCCATTTCATGGAAAATAAATTAATAAAATGAACCTGCAATGATTTTGAGAGAACAAATGTTAATATTTATCTTCAGGAAGCATTCAGCAGTACCTGCTATGAATGAATAAGGGTGCGTCCAATTACCAATTAAAGTGAGTTGCATGATTTCAGACTTTTCTGCCCTCCCAGTGTTTCCGAGCTGGCTAGCATTAGACAACCAGTCACCAAGTCCTAGGCATCTGGGTTTCCTTGTGATTCCAGTTTCAGAAAACAGGTGCTGCTTCATTCTACCTTCCTTTAAGTACCTTTACTGAAGTTCCTACAAACTTGTTTTTAATCTAAGCTTTCTGTGTCATCAGTAGAGAGTGAGCACTTTCTGAGTGATGCTCTTTCTTGCCATTAGCTAGACAGTAAGTCTAGAGGCTAGATTTGGTCCCTTCACTGAGAAGTATTTGAGTGGATGATGGAAATACTTCTCCAAAGCAGACACTTTTGGGTCCTGTTTTTAGTGGTGTTTTCTCTCATAACTTCTATATTTTTTTTATTTGCTTAAAGATATATTTTAACTGTCATTTCTAGAAGAGTAGGAAAAAAGATAAAAATTACTCTTTTAAAGTTAACATATTTTCCGCGATCAATAACAATTTTTATTATTGTTGTTCTATAACATTGTTGTTGATAGACCTTCAAATATTGATAAGGTTGATATTAGAGACACTGTAATATTGTAATTCAGGCTGCAGCTTTCTCTCCACAAAGAAAGAAACTTTCCTTATAACTTAGGAAAATCAAACTCAAATATAAACATGCCTTTATCTTTAAATGGTTAAAATGGCATATGAGGTTCTTTGGCATAATAATTACTTGAGCCAGGTATGATCATATTTTACAGATTCTGTTTTTCAGGCCAATTTCCATTTCTCTTCAGACGCTCTCCTACTTGAACCACAACATTTTGAACCCTAGCTGTTTGTAAAACTTCTTATGGTCCAATACCATCTGTGGCCCAGAATGTGAATGACTGGAGGACTCTAATGCACAACTTGCAGATCACAGTTTATTACAAACTGTACTATTATTAGATTCACATAAATGCATGACACTGTAATGTCTGAGTACAGTGTTGCAGCCATCCACTTCCCAAGTCCTCAGCTTTCTGGAGTGATGAAGGTGAGGCATAAAGCCTTACTGGGAATCACGAAGGTAGGTTTAAGTTACCCTTCACTGTAGATACACGCATCACATTCACATATAGCAAAAGATGTGTTCCTTCATTTGTGCTCCTAGTCAAGGACTATCAAGAGATTGGCGATGAAATACACCATTTGGGAATAATGGCTTTTGGAAAACCAGCCATGTAGCATAAATCTTAGCATTATTAGTTTGCTTCCATAACTTTCTCTTTACAGCTCCAGTGGTATAGTTACATGCTGCCTTGATTCTTTTTTATTTACTTTCAAGCATGTATCACCCTATGAAGTGGATGCTGGCAGCTGAGGCATCCATTTTCTAGGCATTAGTCTACCAAAATCAACAAAATAGTCAGTGGGTTATATCACCAAATTAAACATTGTATATTAAATCTACACACTGCAAGTTGCAGTGGGAAAAGAATGTGATTTTTACACCTTCATTAGTGCTAGCATCCTCATTCCACTTAAATATAATATGCATGGATTTATATACAAAATAAATGAGTATTTATATACTGGACTATTTGCATAAACAGAGAAGCCTGTGGGACCACAGGAGGTTCCCCAATTACAAGTCAGCCACAACTTCGCAATGTGGTTATTGGCTGCAATCAAACAGAAAAAAATATTTCTGTTGGATTATGATTTCATTGAAAGCTTTAAAAATAACTTGGAGCCTTAAAAAAGCTGGGGGGGGGGAGGTGTTATAGAATCTGGGAAGAAGTTTACATGGCTTTGTGATCAACAGAATGCCACAGCATTATTACTTTATTTTTTTTTTTAGTAATGAAAAAATAATTCATTTAAATGCAGGAAATATGCCATTCCAAATGCATATTTAGATGAACATTGAAATATTCCAAATTTACTTATATTTCAAAGAACTCAGATTGTTTTATTTCTTTTGAAGAATAACATGGATGCATTTTCTCATCCTGATGTGTTCAGTGTTTCAAAAGAACTATTAGGAATTATGTCAGCACATTTCATAAGTTAACAGATGCCCTGTTGTTATATATCAGACACTTTTGACATTCAAATGAAGAATGTTAATACAATGCTACAAAATTTGTATTGTTAGGTGTCTTTGTCTGTATGAATTTTTTTTAACTTAGAATTCCTAAAAAGAAATTGCAAATTCTTAGCAATATTCCATATACAGTACTTCGTGATGTCCTACTGAATGGATATATTAATTGTGTTCTCAGCTTTCAAGAAATCTATCTTATCTCTTACTACTTTTTGTCTAATTGCAACTGCACTTATATTCATAGCATTGTAAGCACAGTAAATGTTACAGTATCTATCAACAATAAAAAAGACACTGCAAAATGTGTTTAAGGTACACTTCACTTTGATTTATGTGATACATGCAGTTCTGGAGCTATGAGACTTTTGCTTTGAATGTACTGCAGTTTTACACTCCTAGCACTCTCTCTGGGACTGATCCAAATCCCATTTCTTCAATGAGCTTTGGATCAGATCTAGATGTGCAGAGCTCAGAAGTAATTTTTACTCTCTGGATGTAGTGCAGATCGCTATATAGAAAATAAACACTGTATGCTCTCTCCTGTGGAAAATATATATGTGTTTTTCTTGTTTTACTTTTTTTGTAAGTTAAATGTAGGTCATTCAGACTGAAGGTATATGGTTGTTCTTTATGGATAGAGAAATTTAACACTTCTACAGGGCGTGAGACCAAACACTGAGCAACTGTAATCACTTGAGAAATGTAATAGCTGTGTGCTGTGTCTTATGGCTATTATGAAATGGAACTTATACCTAAAAATGAGGAAAACAGTTAGCTTTCTCCATTTATGGAGCTATGCCACAGTTATGACATAATTCATAGCCAGACAGAAAGTTCCAGTTGTATCCATAGACATTTCATAACTCAGTGTAGTGGAAAACTGATATTGAAGAAAGATTTTTGCCAAGTAAAGTTATTCATACACAAGCTTCCTTCTCATGACAGCTTCCCCACTGTACTGCAGAGCAATGCTGGAACTCTGCCTTGAGACCAGCATTTTCTACACCCACGCTGAAGGTTTATGTCCTGAGATGAGGTGCTTCTAGTTCCCCATGCTCTCCTTCTTATCCTTACTACCTTATTACCCTACAGTTTTGTGCAGAGAATTTTCTAGTTGTTTTTCTACAATAAGTTCATAAATGGCGGATCTTCAGGATGTTTCCTCCATGATTGCAAGAATTTAATGATCATCTGGGGCTTGGGTGCATTTTTCAACTTCCCTTATTACTTAAACAGCTGCAGTTATCAGCAAAGAAAATAATTTGGACCATCCACTTTTCCTTCCAGGACCAGAAAAAGGCAAAAAGAGAAAAGAATAATATAGGGAAAACTCAGGAGCTGACTGCTTGCTGATAAAAGCAACAGTAACAAAGTAAAAACCAAAAAAACAACCAAACAAAACCCCCACAGTATGATCCTTATGCAAATATGACTTGCTACGGTATGTAGGAATCCAGAAGCATATCCAGAAAATCTTGCAGAGGCTTTTCTCAATATAAGAACATTGGCAATCATGTATACGGTATATCTTGAATACATTGGAGGTATTTATCCTTACCTTTGGCTTCATTTCCTGTCCTCAGAAATTTCTTAGAATAGACTAAGCCTCAGATGACCTAGTAATCTCCGAATTCCCTGCAGTTGCAGTGTGACCCTTTATAGAGGTGAACTCAATGTGTAGAATATTAATCAGAAGACTAGGTCTGAGGTAGCTTTTATATTATATCAGGAATGCTACATAAAATACTCTTTAAACTTTTTGCAAAAATTGCATCATTCTACTGGTCTGATGTGCTACTCAGAATACATCTAACCAAAAACGTAAAAAACAAGAGGGTTGTAACAGCTAATATATGCAGAGCTGCCAGAGCTGCTTTAAGCCTGCTGCCACGTATCCCAAGAAATGATTGCAGGCAGAGTCCCTCTGCTGCCCTTCTTGCCCTGGGATGCAGGAGGAATTTCTAAGTCAGAAGACCAAAATGTCGAGACAAGATTTCTGACAGCTTTGAAGTGGCTTTGCAATCCTCTGGAATCCTTCACGGATAACCACAGTCAGATATGCAAAAGAGACTTATTTCTAGAAATCTGCCTCTTGGCTGGATTCAGACATGTTGGTCATGGGCAAAGGTGTCGGGGCACAGCGAGAGGGGCTGCTCCCTGGGGAAGGGGCAGGTGCCCGGCAGCAGCCAGCGGACAGGGCCGTGGCCCCAGCAGGAAGGGTGCTGTCCCGCAGCGCCCATCAAGGTGGGCAGGGGCCAGTAACCACCTCCGGCCAATGGCCAGAGATCGCCGGCCAAGCATGCTGGGACAAGGCAGGTCCACAGGCGAGCAGAGGCTGAAGAACCCGGGGGACCTTGACACCCTGACAGCCAGCCTGTGGCAATGTGGGTGACAAATGCAACAACAAGACTGCTCTTTAACCGAGGGGGTCTTAGAAAGGGTTTAAGAAGGTAGCCAAAGGGTGTTTTATCAAACTGATATACTTTTGTGAGTTTTGGTAGGCCTTTGACTGATTTGTGGGAATATTAGATGCATTAAAGTTATGCTTCATAACGAGAAGATTTTAGCTTTAGTAAGCAGAAAGAGTCATCAGTGAAGGAAGAATGAAATACCAGGGACATCCTGTCAGCCCAAACGCAAGGTGGTAAATACGTGCCTATCTCAGCATTTCTATCAATGCTGTTGTACGTTCGAGACTGGAAGAAGGATTTGCCCTGAGTCTGTGCTCCTCCAACTCTGAACTCATGCTGACACCAAGCTTCCCACCTGCAAGCACCGCAAGACCTTTGCAATCTTTCGTCTCAAGCTTGGGCATGATTGGCATCTAACAATATGACCAACCTTGACATCTTAAAACGTACGTTGTTTCAAGTCTAAGACACATTTTTCCTTTCATGAGGTCCTGAAAACTGAAGCAAACACATAAGCCTTTTATGGAACATTTATCATTTTTTAAATTAATTGCTTAACTTAAGCATATTCATCTGTAACTAATTAATATGGTTATTAAATGTTAATAAAATCTAAAACATTATATATTTAATATTATATAATGATATACATTTACCCATTTACTTTTATTCTTTTTACAGACTCTAGTAATTATTATAATAGTATAAACAAGATATGAGTCAGGCCATAGAGCCTCTACTCAATGCTTTATTATTTAAATATGTTGTGTGTCATATTATTGTTAGCATGAGATGCTATTTCATAAAGATAGGAATTACTTACAGTCACGGAACCAAGAAGTTCAGTATACAAGTCCATTATTACAGCAAAATGTACAACTGCATAGCAATTAAGATAAGCTGGTACACCTGGATTGAAGGGAACTTCTCTTCCAGTGATCTGTATGAAGCAAAAAAGATAATAGCCTTCAACAGTGACCTGCTCCAGCCTGTGATTCCTTCATATTTGCTATACTTGCAAACACAAAAAAGACAAAGATAACTGCACAAAGATAATTTACTATCAAACTTATGTACTACTTAGTGTGAGACGGAGTTAAACTCTGTGTGTATGTATGTTCACAGCTAAAAGAAAAAGAGAAATTACCGTACTCTATAGAACAATTTTGAAAATCTCTTTAGGAAATGAATAATGTAAAGATAAATAAAAAAAATATTTTTTCCTTCAAATAAAAAGAAAAAAACCACAGCTAAACCATTCATTTCCTTCAGTTTCTGTTCCCATTTCATCTTCCCCTATGCTTTATGACTGCTAATTTGCTAATTTAAAATAGCATGTGTAGAGTTTTTCACATTGATCCAGTAGCATTAAGAGGTCCAAGTAAATTACACAAAACTGAAAGCCTGTGCATGTTCTATTTACCACTGGGATTTCCTCAGGAAGGCCAAGTCTAGGTTTTCCTGGTCCCCAGCCTGGCCCTTTGAATATGACAGAAAGCTTATTGCAGAATCCAGGTGTGGCCCAAAACGTGTTCCAAATATGAGCCAAGGGACGTAACTAAAAAAAAAAGAGCAAGTAATTTTTCATTGTTAATAAAATAAAATTTAATAAAACATTATATTTTATTAATTTTTAGCTCTCAAGCAAATGATTTTTCAAAATCTGTAAAGAAAATAAATTAGGAATATATTAAGACAGAGGTTCAGAAAACCTCACTGAAAAAGGCAGAAGTGACATCAAGCCCTTGGTTTATAGTGAGGATTACAATGACTTCTGCCCAGAGGATAATCTGTCTCTCCTGTAATCAATCCAGAGTATTTAATGGAATATTGTATAACTATATTTATGGTAGTTTTAAACTAGAATTTGGTTATGGGGACCTTGACATGACATACTCCCAATAACTAAATTACTTAGTTTCTGACTGGAATGGATATAATCGCACAGGCTGTGGCCGTCCTTCCAGCCTCCAGCCCAGACACCCCTGCAGGAGAATTTCTCATTCTATGAGATGCCTCCTTGGGTAAACAGTCATGAATAGCAAACGAAGGCTTCAATACTCCTCAGTCCCTGAGGTTTTTACAAAGAATTTTTATCCAGCTTAAGTGAAGCCTGAACCAATAAATCTAAGAAGCACCGCACTACATACTTTTTATCTTTTTGTCTTTTTTTTTTTATTAAAAAAACCCACTATATTCAACCTGTTCTGGAGGTTTTGTTGAGACCATGATGCCTGCTATATAATGCGGTCAACACAATCTTTCTAGAATACCTTGAACAGCAAATATGTGAAGAGATACAAATAGTAAAGATACTACACCATGGGATTATTTATGAAATAGCAGTATTTAGAGAGGACAAACATGAGACAAAATATATATTTTTGTTTGTGCTTCGCTGGATATTGCTCTGCATACAGCAAAATGGACATCATTCAGTCCAAGGCCCATTATATTGCCATTGTAATTAGTTGTTAATTTTACTGTATTGTATTTTCATGATGACTACAAGCTCTGCATATGGTCAATGCAGTGAGTAGAAATAATTGTTTTGTAATGAAATACTGAAGAAATTGTAGATAATTTAATTGACTGTGCAGCAATGCAAGGATGGTTTCAACTGTGCCTAAGAGAGGTGTTTCTTTAGAACATGAGTGCCTGTTGAAGATACCAGAGTTGGTGATACAAACTACAGCACCTGGAGCATGATGGGATCAAATGAATTTACTGGATGTGTTAAGCCGTATACAACTTTTGCATCTTCTGCTTCAAATGTTCCTGATGGAAGAAGAAAAAAAAAAAAAAGAACAACCAACAATCAGATTCAAAAGTATACATATTTTTTGCCACACAAACATAAGAGAGAACACCTTTTTTTTTACTTACCAAATATCCTGTCCCAGATAATGAGTGTGCCACCATAATTTTTGTCAATGCAGTAAGGATTTCTACCTAAAATGAAAATCATGTATGAAACCAGTAATTACATATATAAGAATACATGCAACTGAACTATGAAGGGAAATCTTCATCCTTAGCATCAATTTAGAATCTACAAATAATTTTAAAAGGTAGCTAACCCAACACTCCTTATACATCTATAACATTTCTTTTTTCTTACTAAGCTTATTGCTCTCTTTCTACTCAGATTCAAACATACAAATCAAACGTGTCACACCCAAAATTTCTGTGAAATAAAAGGATTTATTTGGAGAGTAAACTCAGTTGAAAATATATTTATAAAGACAAATTAAAAAGCAAAGAGAAACCATTTCACCAGTTTAAACCTAAGAAAATATATGCTAAATACATTCATGTGCAATCATCTCATTAATGGCTTTCAGCTGTCTCTATCTTCTATGCCATATGTCTGATCCTGCCTTTGTTGTTATTAACTTCAGTGTGAGGAAAAGTGATCCTTCTATCTGTTTTCTAGGGAATGTATTTGTACATAAGCTGTCCTATCAAAATTATGAGCAAAGAAACATTCATTACATATCCCCAAATTTGTGGAGATTGTCTGGAGCGACTGTACAACACTTGATCAGCTCCGGAGTGATTGCTTACCTCCGATCAGGATCAGAGGATTAGTTTGGATTTACAGCAGAGCAAATAAGAGTGGAGTGTCTCCCTCCAGGATTACCAGCACTTGTGCAAATTTCAAGGATTAGACACTTACAGCACCACAGCCTTTTTAAAAAGTCTACACAGTGCCATAAACACTTTACACATGGAGGATATAATAAATATTAATAACATCCTCTGTACATATAACCGCATTTGAGTCTGTTTCAAATTATTCCGTTCTTCCATTCCCATATTACTTTTTTACTTATCTCTGCACACTGAATGAACCGTGGGCATCTATGAAATCCACTTGTATTCCTCAGATACGTTCATGGCATTTTTCAGTATGCAGTGGAGTTATTACTCCAATTTACATACGCAGTACGATCTTGAATGCCTCTGCATATTGATGAAGAGTCAATCATCATGCACTTGTGTGAAGTGAGATTTTTCAATAATTTAGACAGCTGAAACCAAATTCCACTAAAACATTTAACAGTTCTTCTAAAAGGTAACCATGTCTTTTTGCACATTCCGTGCTTCAATTTGAACGCAAAAGCACCTGTTAGTGGTTGACAAGTTGATGATGTTTTAGTAGTCAGGGAAGGATGAGATATTTTTCTATCACTCTTCATATTTACGAATGTTGAATTGTTTTGCTGAAAGTCCTCAAATTATTTCATATTATCCAGGCTTAATTTCTGCTCAATAATTAATCTTAAATGTAAAAATTTAAAAATTAAATTTGTTATAGAAAAGTTTTTCAAATACTGTGAAATTTCTCTGAACAAAGAATATTTTTGAAGCAATGATGAAAATTAAAATCCTTCTATAAAACTAATTTTACAGTACTATTTTAGTACTTTATTATTATTATTATACAAACAGTGACCATGAGAAGAAACACACTGAGGAACAAGAGGTTACACTTTTAGCTTACCATGATGAACTCTGTGATGACTGGGAGTATTAAGAATCAACTCCAGAGGCCCAAGGTTGGTGATAACCTTAAAAAAAGTCATGTTTCCATGAATTTGAAAATACTGTATAAAATCAAGACGAAAGGGGTAAAAGAGGGGGAGGAAATGCATAAAGAGGATGTTTATCTTAAGGAGAATTGCATAAAAAGACAAGAATGCTTTTTTTTTTTTTTTTTGCCTGAACCATTTCACTGTATTCCTGTTACAAGAATTTGCATGAAAAAAAGTGAAATTTAGTAAAATGCAAGTTAAAAATTAAACTTCTTTTTGATCCAGCAGCACATTTTCTTCTTATTTTTATTACCAGATCATGATTCCATACAGATCATTTCACTCACATTTTTGTGCCCATACCCATTGGCACTGCTTGGGATCCAGTGTAACTCTAAGACTCTAGTTTTGTGAACACTTTACATCAGCACATGGCTGGCACTGACCCAGAAACAAGTATTCCTTCCTCCTTCAGTACCTCTGACTGCTTGCTCCTTCTACCAATGCCCTTTTACTCTGGCACAGATGCAGTAACACAATAAACCTGATTAGGGAACTGATGCAAGTTAAAAATAATTTTGTTTTTCTAATTTAGTTTAACTGGATCAGTTCCTGAATCTGATCCAACATGTGGTCACAAATACACCAGCATGAGTCAAAGGTGTGAAAAGAAAGTAGACCAGCATAAATTCATAGCAGAGCTGCAATCTAAGGCAACGATTCAACAGTACAGTAAATCCAGCCTTGATCATGTTAGTACCAGATCAAAAATGACAGAAAGCGTTCAGTGCCATAAACTCACTCTAATGATTCAAGCTCTGTCAGAAAATGCTGATGAATTAAGTTTCTATCAGCAGGGTTTATGCTAAAATAGGTTATCTCCTGTATTACGGAGCCAGAGGAAAGCCAGCATTAACTTCAAATTTTGTGCTTTGGTTAGCTCAACAAAAGTGTGTGGATACCTAAACACAGCAACTGTTGCTTAATCCCAAACACAAAACCATCAATCGCAAATAGATGCAATCACTGCATGACCACAAAGGATTCCTGTTCAAAATATATACTAAAATGGTATCTATTCACCATGTCTGATTATGAACATAATGTCTT